GTCACCCACTCAGCAAAGGAAGACCACAATCTTCGTGAGAGAAAGCTTTTTTGAGAGAGTGATTTCTGAACAAATATGCCTTTCATCTACAGCTGGCATCAGTGGCTTATCGTCCTTCCCACCTTGTTCTATGAGAAAACACATTTACTAAGCTTAGAGTTAGGAAGACCGAAAATTTTGTTGTTCTTTGAATCTACCGCCCAAGTCCTATTTGCACTGCTTGAGGCATTCTCAGGCAATAAAAAACATCATTGCAAAACTGTTCTTACGCAGTTCAATAGCTACAGTATCTAAGCACCTTTCAGAATGGCATTAGGCAATATAATTAACATCTGTTGTATGTGCTGCTGTCTCTCATGGGTACATCTATACACGTTTCTCTTGTGTAAATCTATACACTTATCTTTATCTAGGTTGGACACAGCATAATTATAAAGCTAAACTTGTCCCTCTCCAACTGATGCTTTAAGTCTAAAATAAGTACCCACTAAGCACTTGCTCTCAGTAAATTGAGGATAATAAAAACTCATGTTATGTTTCTATGAACAAGCTTAATCAAATCCTTTTGGCTGAGATGCTGTGTTTATTTAAGAGCAAATGATCACACTGATTAAATCAGTGCTGCATTGATTAAAGGGTATTTGATCACCAAGGTAGATCAGGAAAGCATTGCAAAATAACAGTGATAGAAACTCAAATGAAGCAGAAATATAAATGCAAAGAAGGCCACAATGGATTTTTAATAAAGAAAACATTGTAGGCAAGTTGATGATATCTAGAACAAAAAGAAGATTTCAAGTATTATATGATTTCTGTGCATACACTGGTAAAAATGACTTAGGGTTAATCCTCAATAAGATTCAGGTTTTCTGTTAGTATGATCTCCTTAATTTCTTTCCCTTCCCCCAATAAAACTCATCAATCTGTATTTCCTCAGCACAGATATGAAAAATAACACTTTAAATTTTGCTTATAATCAACAGCAAACACACCAACATTAATTTATCAGAGTAACTGTTACCTACAGAATACTTTTGGTAAAGAAAATGTCCTGGAAAGAGATCTTTTGCCAACTTAGTAGCTAATAGAGACGTTTCTCTATCCCATGGTTAGGAGACACCGTCCTAGCCTTCAAAGGAAGTGCGTCCATGAGATGTCATAATGTTCAGAGCTTTGCCGCTTTTACCGGATCTACATGGGTGTGCAGGGCAAGCCCACAGGGAACGTAATACATGATCAAAGACTTGGATTGTGTACAAAGATTTAAAGACAGTGGATAAGCATGAAATAGTAGCACGAAAACATGCTTTTCACAAGTACACAAGGACGTGGAAAATACTGTACTTGTCTGATAACTGTTATGCCCCAAGGGGAAGAGACATAAAGGACTATCCAGAGATGCCAAGAAAGATGTTAAGAATATACTGAATATACAGCTCCTGTAAATGGTTTAATTTTCCTAAGGGAATACCCTGTAGTTCTCAACCTAGACTGATAGACCTTATGACTCTCAAAAGAGCTTGTCTCTGGGGAGATCAAAAAAATGTTAGTACAGAAAAACAAACACGGGGAATTAATACAACAGATTTTTTCCTTTCAGTTGCGCATAGCCACAAAGCTTGATGGTTATTTTTAAATGCTTCTATACAATGACCAGGTATTATCTGCAAAACTGTCTCTAAATAAATGTTTTGTTTACTTTACATTCATTAGTTACACTGCATTGGACATTTTGAAAGACAACAGGCTGAAAAAAGGGGGAAAAACAGACACCGATGTCTAAAGAGCAGAGAGGAAAGTCTGGAAAAGCTAACCCTGAAAGCAATCATCAAAAGAATGGAGATGAAAATACATATATTTTCAAACATACGTTTAGGTACCAGCTCTGTTGGCGCTGTAACATCTGCTTCTCTGTAACACTCTGTTGGATCCACAATGTCACTGCCAGGAGGAGGGTAAGGTGGGGGTGGGGGGATCACTAACTGGGGCGGACCACGAGTGGTGCCTCTAGGAGGCTTTTGTGGCACCCGCCGTCCATCACCTACAGGGGGATCAATTGACTAGTTACTTCATTGCAAGATAATGATCGCTCTGTTTATTGCTACTTTTTAAAAACACATTGATTTTCCCTTACCCACATCCAAAGTGTCTCTGGGTCTAATTCTGCTCTTGTTTACTCCCAAATAACTAAGGGAGAAGAAAAAGGTAGGTCTTTCTTAAACCAACAGCAATGGAACCAGAATTGGGTCCAGCACATACATGTACATTACAACTAACAGTTAAAATCACCGGTTTTGGCAGACATAAGGAAGGAGAAAAATAGTTGAATAAAAAAAAATTAAAAAAGCTATGTATGAAAATGTGAAAAATGTGTTTTATTTTTATCTTCTGAAATGCAAAACTGCCTGAATTTGTTGATGTCTAGGATACTTTTTGTGGCTATTTTCCTGACTCTGAGAGAAAGAGAAAGATGCCTCAGGTTAGTATTTTGAAGTAGATATCTTACAGGTTTTTCTGTTCTTTTTTTTTTTTTAATAGGTTTTTATTATTTTGACGTTGTAGAGAAGCAGATGATTAAGATGTTTTCTACAAAACAGTGTTTGAATCTACCAAAGGAAATGCTCATAACTTTGGCTGGAGGTTTATTTCTACACTATATGCAATAACAAAACAAATACATGCATCTTTTCACTATATGAATCACTTCCAATATGAAAAAGCTGCTGCCTGTTTGTAGTATACAAACTAGAGCTATTGCAATTTGGAAAGTCCTTAGAGGCTGAAAGTGCACTGAGGAACCATGACTACCTGCTTGTTCTCCTCTCGTACCCTGCCTTAAGCATCTTCTGTGGTCATTGCTGAAGATGGACACTGACAGACACATCTTTGGTTTGATCCATTCTGATCATTCCTATACTCTCAGGCTCATGCTTTGGGGCTGCTGAGAAAGGAAGCAGCACTAAGAGGGAGGAAAAAAGACTAAACCATTATGATTTTCTGCTTAGGAGTCACTAGCTTCCAGAGGAGTATCTTCCAGAGACACAATTTAATGCTGGCAAACATGCAAGAACTTTTTTACTGCTTTGAGGAAATTTGGCACAATACTTTGTAGTCACAGTAAATGTGTACATTATTGAAGTGAACTTGCCAGTTTGAGAATATTTTTGATAGAATCTTTTGCTTTGATTCACGTGGCTAACTTGAGAGATACATAGGTAGCTTTAATGCTTTTTCCATCATGCGGCTAACTATTTCTTGCAGCACATTTTTCCCCTCACTACAGTCTTGCTTTTTTCACAGCTTTTATCTCATGCTTTCAGAGCCATATGTGCTTTCTCATTGTTTTCTTGCAAGGGCTCCAAAGAGAGGTTGTTTTACCAACCTTCTCTGGCTGTAACATTTTTTCTTTTAATGAACACATTCATTCAAGAAAGTAGCAGAAAATGAAAAGCACTCACTGAAGACAGGGCTACTGTGGGACGAGTTCTTTGTCAGTGTAAAATAATAAGGCTCCATTAAAGTAAACGATACTACAGAATCCTACAGGAGCAGAGTCTGGCCAGCAAGCACTTATGTACATAGTACTAAATGGACTTGAATTGGCTCTGTTCTGTTTTATTTCACCTGTAACATTTTGAGTACCAATGCAAAATAAAATGAACACTTACAAAAAGTTAATGCATCAAATGTCATCAAAAAGTGACCAGCAGCAGGGGAAAGCACAAGAAACAACAGTGTGACATCTGCAGTGGTTAAAAGTAAGCAAATTTGATGAAAACTCCTGTGTTATATGGCACAGTGATAATAATCCCCTTAGGGGGTTTAAATAAGAGATGTCAATGGAGTTGAACATGTCACACGATAATGGACTCCTGCTGCTACATAAATGCTGAGGCATTAGATGTGAAGCATCTACTGAAAATAAATGTTGGAACAAAGCCAAGAGGTTTCTTTCTAAACTGTGAGGCATTTGTAATGCAAGCAATTATGTATGACAGAATGTCATATCTGTATGTCTCAGGCACTTTATGAAACATGAGGTCAAAGGCATGAACTGAAGTGCACTGAGTGCATTACAGCACTTGAAGAATGATTCTCTTAATGTACTGAAAAATGAGTTTCAATATGTGGGGTTATTATCTCATATCTTTACCCATCGTAAAATCACTTTGGTTGCTAAAAGCATAATCTCTGGGTCCTCACTTGGGCAGAGCTTCCACCAATATGAATAAGCTACAAGTCAGATAACGACAGGGAAAATGTTTTTCAGTCTTCTTGTATGAGTAAATGTGGTGTCACATGCAGCTGAAGGCTACAACTTCTTTTGTTGTCTCCAGCTATGTTTGTCATTCCTTTGAGAGTACCAGTTCTTTTCTTCTACTGATTAGCTAAAGACTCAGTAGAGATCGATTTATAACAAAAATGAGGACTAAATTTGAAAGAAAAACTTTACTAAATATCAATGTTGATATTCAGTTGATGTCAAACTTTGGGAAGACTACATGAAAATCAAATGTCTTCAGGCTTTAGGAACAGGAAGAGACACTGGACTAACTTGGTTGTACTTCGGTTCTAGCCACTTCTTGGCTTCATATGCATTCAGTATTGCCTGGCCTGTCTCCATTTACTAGCATTTTCATTTACTATTTCTGTATTTCCATTTACTAGCAAAGTGATTATGATCTTAAAGGCACAGAATAGGCCCAGGGCTAGTGCTTTTGTATATAAACCTTGTGTCAAATATTCAAATAATCTGATGAGTATTATCTACATTTTACTACCCTATGGTACTCTGAACAGTGCTATTCAAAAGAAAAATAAAAAAGAGGTAATATACAAAGACTTATTTCCAGACTTTCATTCTGCAGAGAAGTGTATTTTTTTTCCCCAAGTTACAAAAGTTTCCAAACTCATGGTGTAACAGAATTAAGGCAACTTCAAACAGCAATCATTGAAAGCACATGCATAGGGATTACATAGGAGAAAATAACACCTCTCACCCATTGTGCTCTTTTTCTTGTCTTCCCTATCTTCTGTCCTGTTTGGCATGGCAGGAGTGGGTGGAGCAGATGCAGTTGGTGGAAGAGGGGCACGCCTCTTCTTTTTCCTTAAATCATTCAGGGATGCTCCTTGTGATATCTAGCAAAGTTGAAAAATAGGTACAAAAAAAGGATATGTTTTACTGATGTTGTAAATTGACAGCAACTGAAAAAAAAGGTGTTTGTCATATGACCTAATTTCTCAGCACAGTATATTTATAATGAGCATTTATAGTGACAACAGGAGATTAAAGAGGTACATTAATATTGCACTCAGAAAAGGAAAGAGACGAGACCTGCGGGTGAGTGTTACAGCAGAAATACCAGTCTAGTAGGCATTTGATGGTTTTGGAAAAAGTGAACTAGAGAGCCCAACACTCAGCAGAGCCAAGCATGACACTATGTGTGGTGTTAAGCTTGAGCCATAGCATGATCTTCTTTTTCCATCGGTTTCTTCAAACCTTAACTTATGGTTGAATACTCCAATTGGTAGGTATAGGGAATAAATTCTCTCTCATTTCTTTTATTTTCCTCTGAAATTCTTGTTTAAGGACTACTGAGAGAAGAATCAGAATTGACAGTTTGCCTGTATGATATCATACTGTACTCTATTTAATGTGTACTGGACTTCACAAACATACTTCTGAAGATCTGTAACACCTTGGCTTCCAATAACTGCAACATGCTTGTTGATATGTCAAGACTTCATACTACTTATGCTGCTTCTAAAAATATGAAAAATGTTATTATAAGTGACTTGAATTTCAATGGATTGAATAATATTTTCTGTAGCTTGTTGGAACTTAGATCTATTTCCTTTTTCTGGAAAAATAATAATAATAATAATAATAATAATAACAAAAACATGTAGAAAAATCTGTTGAAGTTTTATATTTGAAAGGTACTGACAAGACCAGTCAGTACCAGGCTTAACTGAAGCAGAGAGTAATGGGAGCTGCCCACACGACACGCTGTTGGCATTCCTCAGTCTTCACTTCTTTGACTTAATTGTTCTGTCTGTCCTGATATTCCTGAAGATCTATATACAGAATATAGATCTATATATACAGACTATCTGAGTTACAGAACTGCCTGGTGGTTTTCTACTATTTCAAAGGCCTAAACAATAATAATCGTATTTCCTTTAATCCAGAGGATTAATGAACCCTTAAAATACAATTTTTGTGGAAGATTTCAATGAAAAAATAGTAGCTTCACCCTGTTTAAAGCTGTCATCAGAGTTCAGAGGAAAGGCAATCATTTATAGGTGTCTTTTCCTAAATTGAGAAAAAATCTGAGAAGAAATTAATTTTCAAAGATTAGGACATGAATAGAGCCTCCCTCCCTCACTTAGTCTTCCTTTTTAAGAGCACTCAGGAGAGTGCTACACTCTAAAACAGAAACCTTCCAATCCCACCTTTCAGGATGATGTTTTAACCACCATGCCACATGACAACTGGACACTGTCCACCCCCTCTTGGTGAACCTGCATCCTTCTCACAGAGAAACTTGGTAGTAGCTGCACTGGACACAGAGCACATTAACCAGGATGAGCTGCATCTTTGTAGCAAATATGCACACTAAAAGTGAAGAGCACCTTCTTATGTTACCTGGAACAGATTTTCCCTGAACAGCTGTAGGTATCTGTGGTGTAGTTGGCATCCACACTTATTGGAGAAAGTCTGGAGAACTGACAGACAGATCTAAACAGTTCTAACTGTGCCTTAATAGAAAGCCCCTTAGTGGGTCTAGTCAATATGTGACTAGATGTTGAAAAAAAAAAGTGCATAGTTTGTGTTTCAAAATCCAAATCACTCTTCCCAATATTTTTGTAAACATTACATGAAACATTTGTCTTATGACAACAGATTTTTCCTTTTTTACTATTATCCCTATCATGTTGCCATCGAAAAGGAAAAATCTTGAAAACCTAAAAATTTTCCAAGCTCAATATTTAACAAAATTCTCCTCAAAGCAATTTTCTTCTTGCTCAAACGTAGCTACAGGTGATACACATATATCAGCAACAGGATTATGTCTGGAATAAGGATTGCTTTTAAGGGATGTCCCACGCATGTTGAGTATAGCATATGATATAAACTGTGTGAAAGAAGCTCATATACTCTCTTGCTTCTTTCTACTTTTTATGCAACGTTACACATCAGGATCTTTAATTGTTTTACAGAAGAACTGGCTAATGTGTATACAAATTGTCTTATTCATGGAAACAGTGAATAACTGTAGAAATAATTTTTAGAAGTCAATAAAAAGGATTGGAAAAAGAACACATGGATTCAATCACTGGCATGCCCTGATTACAAACTGGTTTCCAGACATACACTCTGATTTAAGCAAGTCAGATTCTGATACACCTGCTGGTGATGATATCGTGTGGGGTCAGAATGCCTCATGAATTACAGGAATGTTTAAATGCAATCCACAGAAAAAAATCAGAGCTAACCTGTAACCGAACAAACAACAGCATCACCCCAACCTATGTGTGGGACCATCACAAACTTCTTCCCTTCACAAAGGATTTGAAGGAATCTTGAAATAATTATGAGCCATTTTACAAGATGTTCTCAAAAAAAAGACACATGTTTTATTAATAAGATTTAAACTCCTGATACAGTCATAACTGCCCTGATCCTTTATAGCATTCTATGAAAGACAAGAGGTAGATTGGTATGTAAGGAAGATTTATGGGTTTAGATTTAAAGATATTTTCCTATGACATAATTTAAAGCAGTTGAGGAAAAAACATTTTGATCCAAAAGGAGTCGTTCTATGAAAATCAGAGAGATAAATCTTTCAGCTGCAGAATGGCAACATAAATCTTTCCACTAAACTTGATGATACAAAAGATATTCTGCCGAGCTGATTCTGCATTTTCACAGGGCAACAGATGCTTCAACATGTCTAGCACTAGAAACCACAAGAAGTCCCAACTGAACATTAATGTGTCTTAAACAACATTTACTCATATGTCTAATATTCCCTGGACAGGTCATACATTATTAGGCTTTTCACTGGCATATATTGACAAAGGAAAATTCAGTGAGCTCTCCAAACTGGGTGTATGAGCAATCCATGAGGCTGACCACTGTAAGCTACACTGAATAAAATTGTCTATTCAGCACTGAACTTCTCTACCTTGTTTCCTTATTGAGTAGTGCCCCATTGATTAAAAAATGAATGTCCAATCCACACGTACATTACAAACTGCATTCAAAGACAGCAGTCTGATGTCTCCCAAAAACATGTTCTTATGTTGCAGAAGGTATTTGTGTGGGTTACTTAAAATAGTTGCTAAGATCCAATGCAATGAAACAACACATTGCAAAAACAACATACACAGAGATAGTAAAAAGTCTGGTACATGGGAACAATTTTAAAGAGGGTACTATCTGGAAAACTCATAATTTTGATAAAATGCATAGAAATAACTACACTTTAGAAATTAGCAAGCAGTTTCTCTGCATTGGTAATTTTAGTTCTGTACATCTTGATTTTTCAGTGTAGGATCTCACATGTCTGATAATAAAATGAATAATAAAATAATAATAGGCTTAGTTTTAAATAAACCATATGAATATGTATGCTAGGATAGCATGACTGGTATTTGGACTGACTAGACACAATAGCTTGTGTTACTCTGGACATGTCACTCTCCTGTGGAACAGATTTAGATGGGAGACTCCCAAGCTACTGCCAATGTGAGTTTGAGTCCACAGTAATAACAATCAACTCTTCGAGCAAGATAACCACTTTTCAATCCTGACAACACCACTCTCTATTAGGGCACGCACTTCTGACTTTGAAATTCTGCACTGTGCTTCCTTGCACTGTGTTTGTCTCACCTGACGGCTTCACCCCAGCCATACTCATGGCCTCAGCTTCTGAGTGGCTTTGCTGCTGGAAGTGTTCATGTGCAAAGTGGGAAATCTGGCTTAGAACTAGAGTGCAAACTGCATCATTCTTCTGAAAATAACCTTACCATTAATATTTTAATCAGATATTACAAAATTTTGCATCATTAAGCCTATGTTGCTTAATTTCAGATTTTTTCTTATAGTTTTGGTGTTAAACAGGATATTAAACACAATTTAGTATTCATTATCAAAAATCAAGCTGTGACTGCAGAAACATCTGTCTTAATAAAAGACAAAAAGCTTAGCATTACTGGATTTTATGGAAATTGCTACGTTCTTGAACTATTTTATTCATAAAATGAAGAAGACAAAAGCCAAGGATGTCCTTGAATACTTGGTTGATTGGTGACAAAAAGCTAAATTAGTTGACACAAGAAAGGCAGTACAAGGTGAAGGGGCAAGCTCATTTTTCCATCTGTTTTTATTGAACACACCCTTTCTGAAATGTCACGGTCAAGGGCAGTTAAAAATTTCATTCTAATCTTTAAACACTTTAGCTTGTCCAGTTAAATGTGTGAGACAGGAAACCATCCATAAACGAATTTGAGATGTTAAATTACTAAGATAGCTCTGATTTCCTTCTTTGTAAAATCTCATTTCTAGTTGCAGTATTATTTCCACTGACGGAAATCACTCTACAACACCAAATATTTTCACATGCATTGAAACATGTAGACTACACAAGTCTGCGGATGTTTGCTTTGGCAAAGAATTGAACTTCCTTCGTTTCTCTAGATACAATGTAATCCTCCTCATTTATGCCTTCATTAAGGGGGGGGACACCAACAAAAACTCTTCAAACACTTAAAAATCATATTTTAAAACCACCACAAAGTGACCTGCTATTAAGATTAATTTCTCCTCTAGAGAGGAGAAAAATGGCAAAAACAACCACCAGATTTTAATTTCATATTTGTGCTTATCTTTTTAGTTAGAACTATATAATTAACAGAACAATGAACATTAATTAGACTGCAAAATACACAGTAGGACTGCAGTTCATATTTCTTCTGACAATTTTGTCCATGGGTTTGATATGATCAATGTCATCTTCTTGAGTGACTGCCTTTGAACTGGACTAAGGATTTTATACATCACCTTTTCTTTCTCAGTCTCACACCCTGGATTATAAACTGGATGACTGGTTGGTCTGCTTGTCTGTCCTTAA